TCTGTTCGCCGTTGCCGGCGGCGGCGGCCACGAAGAAGCCCCGGCGGACCAGCGCCGCGGCGGCCTCGTTGACGGACTGCGACCAGCCGCCCCCCAGGCTGAGGTTGACGACGAAGCGTTGGGGCAGTGGCGCTGCGCGGCGTCCCGGGCGACGTGCTCCATGCCCGCGACGATGACGGACGTGTCGGCGCCGCACTTCTCCTCCCTGTTGAGGTCGAGCACCTTGATGCCGTAGATGGCCGTCTTCTTGGCCACGCCGACCTGCCGCCCGCCGATGGTGCCCGCGACGTGCGTGCCGTGGAGGCAGTTGTCGTTGTGGTCGCCGATGAAGGTCCCGAGGAACTGGGCGCGGCCCTCAAACTCCCACCAGCCAGCGTTTTTAGATTGGTCCCCTCTCGCAGCATCATGACGGCGGTGCTTACGGGATGTGCGGCGTAGAGGCCGCTGTCGACGACGTAGGCGCATGTGCCCTCGCCGGCGCTCTCGTCAAAGATGTAGTCGCTTGCGACGGGGCGTCTGTGAGAGAGTCGAGCAGGATTCCAAGGGGCCTGTTGCTGAGTAGCCCCGCCGTACGCTTCAAAATAGGCGTTCTGCTCGACTTAGTCAACCTGTTATATACAAGTTAGCCCCTGGTCTTGGTTCAGCTCCAGGTCCTCGGCCATCTTACATCGGGGTGAGCACGCATCGCATCGAGCGTAGGAGAGTCCAGCTTGCCAGTGAAGCCCTTGAAGATGGAGTCAAACACCTGGTCAGCGTCCCCGGGGATGATCTTGATGGCATCGTCCAGCGCAGCCTTGGCACTGTCCTGCTTGAGCTTGACAATGTACTCGTCGGGGACCAGGGTGAAGGCCTCGCCGCGAGGAATAATCAGCGGCGCCGGCTCGGACCGCTTGCGAGTTGGGCTCGCCAACGTCAGGGGCAGAATGGAAAGGAGGAGAGACAGTGTAGGATGCATTGTGAGGTAATATACTGAGCTGCTCGGCAGGTCGGGCTGGACAAAAACACTGGACTAGGCTGGGCGAGACGAAGATGGGCGGGCTTGATCCTGCAAACCATCATGACGAGAAGTCCCAAGTCCTTTATACCTCACTATTTATTGTCTACGTCCGCATCAACAACTGTTGATGGATAATATCAACCTCAATGGATCATCCTGGCAGAGTTAGGAAGGTGTGCAACATGGGCTCTCTCTTCAAGGTTGGGGATGGTTACCCCTATGATCAAAACAAGATTGATTTCCCGACTGTAGAGTGTCCCCATTCGAAGAACCAGTGGCGCGGAGTACGTGATCCCGGCTACAAGGCCATAAACTGCGAGACTTGCATCAGTACTGGCTCTGTCAAAGCCCACTTCCCGACTGATAATCCCTAGGCCCAACGAGTGCCATCGTGCCGCTGCTGCTGCCTAGTTAATGAATAACAGTCGTCTTTTACTATGCCTCTTAGAAGCCTACATGTAGCCTTGACTGATGCCTTAAGCCTGATAAGAAGGCGGGCAATATCCGGCCCGTCGGGGAGAGACCGCCAAGGTGAAGAATGATACGGGCACGGCAACGAACCCAGAGCCGAGAGCCGCGCCAATTTTGTGATCCATGTCTTTAGAGTAGCCAACTACGGCAGGCGACCAAGGAAATGCGCTTATGTGGCGTGAGCCTCATCATACAAACCAAAAGCTGGGTTGCTGTTTTTGCATAGTAATCCTGACGATTCCCGTTTCCAAATAAGGAAGCTGCTCTTAGGATATTATTATTAACGCGCGCCCAGCCAAGCGGCGCTCTCTGCCCGGCGCTCCTTGAAACAGCCAAGTTGGGTAGACTCATACCTTCATCTACCTTGGACCCGTATAGCATCTATACAAGGGTGTTTAAGTCACATAGCGGAGGACCACAAGACCGCTTTGTGGTCTAGTCTTTGACTTTGTCTAACCTTTGGCCGCCATTGGCTGCATAAATCGTCGCGAGAGACTTGAGCATCAATAGGTTGTATAAGGGGACAAGAAGACCCAAGGCGATGAAGCACATCCTTTCTTTGTCTTGTGTAATATACGTAAGTAATAGTTGAGCAACTTCCATAACTGTCAGATATGCCATCTTGAAGCCCGAAAAGCCCTGGCGTTTTCGACAAGTCGTAACGCAAAATACATTAGCCTACGTTACTTCTGCTAAGTCAAGCCATTGCTTCAATACCACACCTTCCCTCGGGAGACGCCAGGATGCCTCTTAAATCTGCGGAAATGAACTTGTTTGCATGATTCGCATTCAAGGTGGGACAGATGAATTTGATTGTGGCCGGTCGCGCTGAATCGGAAGTTTTCTGACAAGTTACAGCCAAGTCAAAGGAATATATGCCTTTGATAAAGGACCCCCACCTGTTTGTAGTTTGGCGCTTCTAAAAGCAGCCCACTCCTGGTCTTGGTCTGCGACGTTTCATCTTCAAGGGGGCCGTTCATTAATCGACGACTCGCGGAACCTGGTCGTGGGCAAGGCTACCGACGCAGCAGTTGATTGTACCACCCCAAGTTGGCTGTGTTCTCGGACCCTGCTGCCCCTTCATAACCGTCAAGGAAAAGAGCTCCAGGCCGTATTTACAGACATGCGCATCTATTCAACAGAAGTGGTTCGATAAGAAAAGTCCGCAAAGGAGGCAAAGTCCTAACCTACGGCGATAACGCCTTTAGCTTGAAGCATGTCCGTTGCGTTAGTTGTAAAATCCGCTGTCTCTTATGGAGTGCATGACATCGTAGATAACGGGGGGTTCGTAGACTTATATTTGGTTTTAGACAGAGACAGAGATGGAGCTCCTCATTTTCGGCCTTGAGCTCATGCTTCATAAGAAGCATCGCAAAAACAAAGACGCTGCCATCTACAGCTTGGGGTCTACATCTATGTAGTCTGATGACGCCTGCGCTCGTCAACAGGGTACGTCAAAACATGTCTGCATCCTGTGAAAAAGAGGGCCCTCTCAATGCTACACTTACATAATGCAGATATTGCCCCTCAATCCCAAGGCCTTGGCATGTAACTATTAGGTCGTCCTCAAATGCCGAAAGCAGATGCTCTGGGCTTACGGCAGCAACCGTGCTAGGTCTAGTGTCTGCGGCGAAACTCAAGTCCGACCAGACACGCCTCGTTCCAACGGCTCGCTGAAGCATGTGGGAAAATTGGAACTCCTCGCCCCCACCGGGGCAACTAACAGCCTTGCAGAAGCCATGTTGACAAATGCTGCTTGCTGTCTCGAAAGCTCAAGCAAGCTCTACAGAGCTGAGCCCTGCGTCCTCCGTCCGTGTCTTGAGTGTGAAGCGACAGAGATCTGGCGGGGGTCATCCCTTTACCTGAAAGCTGTAGACAGACCATGATCACGGCGTATCCAGCAGAATCAAGATGGGTTTTTTTTTCTTGTCCTCGTATCGTCATCGCCCCATCCGGTCGACCGTTTTCTGATGGAACCCCCGAGCTGGTTGGTGGACCTTTCGACGGCAGGCGGACCAATGCCCATGGCCTTATCAAAACCAGGATTTCAGCGCCTTGAGCTCCAGTCAGCCATCCTATCCGACCATCGTTGTAGCTTCAGGGCGTCCTTCGGTGGTAGCCACCGTGTCCAGGTGGCAAGAAAGAGCTGTTCAACCCAACCTTCAGTTTCCTGCTGCCTGAGCTTCCTTGACGCCCCTGTGATGACCTCATCGACCCCCATCAGCCCCTCCTTGCCAATTCTCTTGAATCCCTCCAGTGTGCCTTGGGAGCTGCAAATGCTCTTCGGATCATGTTGAAGGTCGCCGTACGGTGCAAAAACCTTCAACTAACTGCGGCATCCATTTCCTCATTTCATTTTTCTCAGCTATCAATATATGTTAGTGCTCTGTGTCTTATTAGAACCGGGGACGCATGGTCAAGGATCATGAGGGAATCACGCAACAAGGACGTAGTTGAGCATAGCTTGCAGACCGCTCGACTCCAGCCACCTCGGTTGCCACTGGTTCGGCCATACATAGATAGCACACACCTTAGCTAAAAGGTGACACCCTCCCAACAGAAGGCAAAAGAACTTGCCCGACTGCTTTTTCTGCTCGTCGTGTGCCGGCGTTGGTCGTAAATTCATCGTTTGTTGAAAGATATCATTGTTCTTCTTCTTGAAATTCAATCGCCATGCGCAGCTATACCTTCAAGTGGTAAGTGCGATCACGGCTCCTGGCTTGATGTGCAAAGCTCCTTCCTCCCCCGCCTTTGTTGGACGCGCCTGCCTCGATTGCTTTGCCCACGCTGGACTGGTGGCTGCAAGACCATGAGTCCATGTCACCAGCTATTCGTTGTTCCAACAACTTCCAACAGTTTGAATTTCGATATGACCACATGGCTAACTATACAATCTCGCGCAATACAGGGAAAATCCCACTGGCGATGTATCCGACGTTCTCGTTACCGGTTCGTTTGATGGATGGACCAAGTCGGTGAAGCTCGAAAAGCAAGGGACCAGCTTCCAAAAGACAGTCAGTTTCTCGGAGAAAGATGCATCAAGCAAGATATACTACAAGGTGAGTTGATGCGAGCTCGTTTATCGTCTTGCTTTACTTCTCCCTCCCTTGCCATGCCGAAATGCAATCAAACCTCGTCCCGTAAGGACGCGACCGGGAGCATTGGGCGACAAACAGACGGTCGACGAGAGGAACCACCAACCCTGCCGAATCTACGGAGAATTTCGACGACCAATTGTACTTATGCGACAACGTCTACGCCACCCAACCCCTGTTGCACATGGAGAGTAGCAAATTGGGAAGCATACCATTGTGAATTGAAAATTTGCTTTTTTTTTCTCTTCCCTAAAAAAAAAAAAAACAAAGGGAACAAACAGTCCTATTATTAGTACGGAGCGCAACATTGTGACAATGGCTGGCGCCTCATTTTCACTCCAGACTGCAGGGGTTGACCGAACGGGTCAATTTTGGGAACGAACGTGCGAAGTGCCTTCAGCTCTCGGGCGAAATTATCACCCTGGTCAAATACTGCTGCGCATCTATGGCACTATTGGGTGCATTCAATTTCCTCGAGGTTCCGTCAGATGCAGGCTTCGAAAAGAGATCACCTAAGGGTGAGACGATGCGTTGGCTGTGCGACCGCACCTATCGAGGACAGATACAATAGACGGATAATCGAGCCCTGGATGCGGCCACACGGTCCAAGACAGCCAAAAAGATGTTGACGTACTCCGTACCGATCTAAGACCATGTCGACTGGGTGGGAAGACCACATGCAACCACTCTGTCCTGATTGGCATCAAACTGGAGCCCGTGGTAATACGGAGTACCATGGCCGGTAGCGTCTCAAATCGTCGCCGAGTCATCTCGACTGTCTGTCGTCGTTTGGCTGGTTCCGTCCATGGTGGTTGCGCCGGCTGACCGGTCGTGTTGGCTAGTGACAAGGCGGCAGGGCCGGGTCAATTGCGACCAACAAGCAACGGAGCACGCATTGTCTGCAAAGTCGAAGATTGCGCAATTGCAACATGGCAAAACAAACTCAGCAAGACGACCGAAAGAAATCACCGCATAGCACGGAGTAAGGCTGGCAACACGCTGTCGGGCCCCTGACCCATCTAGCCTGACGACTTGCCGAACACTTGCATGCTGGATTGAATCGCTCCACCCAGCCGCCCACAGGCCACTGATCAGTCCAACCCTGTCCCAGGCGACCAGAAGTGGCCCAAAAAGCTACTAAGCCCTGCTCCAAGGTTGCAACAAAGTACAAAAGCCCTCCGCACACGACACTGGACCCACCGGACGCACACGCCGGCCAGTACAAGCTCAGCCCCTGGGTTCACTTTCGCACTTGCGCGCACTTCTGACTTGCGCCAGCCTCCCCGCCTGCATATATCTCACGTCACGCCCGCCCCGTGCGCTGTGTCCACCTGTCATTCACACATTTTACTCCCAGACTTGTCATCTTTTCTTGATCAATTGGCGCACAAAGTGTCGTCCGCAGGTCAAAGTCTTTGGCTAACTCTATCCGTTCCCTCCTTTCTTCACCATTTAGTTTGTCGTCGATAACAATTGGACCATCAACGAGTCCTACCCGCACGAAGCCGACCACGAGGGCAACGTCAATAACTTCTTGACCCCCGACGACCTCTCCAGCTCGGAAGCTGCGCAGCCTGCACTCGCTGCAGCTCCCTTCATCAACACCGCAACCCCCGAATCCACCACCGTTGCCGACATGGCCAAGAAGAACAACAAGAAGAAGGCCGCCCCCGCCAATAAGCAGCCTGCTGCTGCTGCTGCCGCCGCCCCCGCCTCTGAGCCCAAGCCCGAGACCAACGTCGCCGAGGCTGCTCCCGCCACTGACACTCCTTTCGCAGCAGAAGCTACTGCGACCCCATCTGACGTCCCCGGAGGCTTCCCTGTGACGCCCTCCAACGAGGCTGCCGACTTGGATGATAAGACCCTCAGCATCAATCCTCTACCAGCTACAGCTCCTGGCACTAGCAACCCCATTAAGCTTGCCCCCGGTGAGAAGATCCCAGAGTCGATTGCCGCTCAGAATATCAATGAGCACGTCAAGTTAGACAAGGGGTCATACGAGCGGAGCGACGCCCTTCCTGGCGGCCCTCCTTTCATCACCACCGAGGTCCCTCCCACGTCTGGCACCATAATCCCCGAGTCTAGCCTCCCTATGGGCGATCAAACCGACGTTACCAACGCTACCGTTAACTCGGTTGGCCCTGGTGCTACGACTGTCGCCCTCGCTGGTCAGGTTCCCCTGGAGCCCAAGGTCCCCGAGGTTGTCAAGGAGAGCCAGGAGAAAGCCGGCGCCGCACCCGAAGCATCTGCTGTAGCTGAGGAGGTCAAGGACAAGGCTAAGGTCGAGGAAGAAATCAAGGAAAAGGTTCCCGAGGCTCCTGCTACTTCTGTCGGCACTTCTGGCATTGGAACCGAGAAGAAAGAGAACACTGGCACTATCCTAGGAGCTGCCGCAGCTACTGGTGGTGCTGCTGTTGCGGCTGCTGTTGCGGCAGTTAACAAGTTCTCCGAAGATGCTACTCCTGCTGTAAACGACGCCAAGAAGGCAACTGTTGATACCATCAACAAGAACCTTCCTGACACTGTCAAGGACAAGCTACCCGAGTCCGCCCAGGCAGCACTTGCTAGTGACAAGAAGGACAGCCCTCTGGAGAAGATTTCACCTGCAGTTCCCAAGGAGGTCAAGGAGTCTATTGCTGAGGCTGGCAAGAGCCCCGAGGCTGCTGTAAGCACCTCCGCGGTCGAGGAGAAGAAGGAGGTCGAGAGCGAGCTGCTTAAGGAAGTGAGGAAGGCACCTGCTGTTGATGAAGCGAAGAAGGCACCTGCTGTTGATGAAGCGAAGAAGGCACCTGCTGTTGATGAAGCGAAGAAGGCACCTGCTGTTGATGAAGCGAAGAAGGCACCTGCTCTTGATGAAGCGAAGAAGGCACCTGCTCTTGATGACGCCGTCAAGCCCGCTGAAACAAAAGCTCCCGAGACAAAGCCTACGGTCGCCACGCCTGCAGCAGCAAGCACTCAGGCCTCAACTACTGTCGCCGCTGCCAATGGAGCTACGGGTGCCGAAACCAAGGCTTCTGAGCCTCCTGCCGCGACATCAGCGACGCCCGCGACCAATGGCAATGGTACTGAGAGCAAGCCTGCCGCTGAGGGTGGTGCTGCCCATGACAAGAAGAAGAGCCGCCTGAGTGTCATGTTCAGCAAGCTCAAGGCCAAGTTGAAATAAAAAATTTTTCCTTGCGGGTTGTGGGAACATAACAGGATAATGAGGGTTGGGAGGGGCTTTTTGTTAAGGTGATATATGCAGTGGTTTCTTGCCTGTTGAGGATGCTTTGTACGAGTTGTCAATGATTCCCCTCAGATTTTTGCGAATAAGAGAAAAGTGGTCAGGGACTTGACCTGACGCCCGACGCCCAAGGGTGCAGCGTCGTATACCTAATTCACGATCATTTTCGATGCCGCTCATTTCATGTGTTTATTTCAGCATTGGAATTGCCATTGGAATCCATGTACAACCAGCTTGTTGGAAGTGTCATGAGACTGACTCAACATGCGAGATCATCACTGGTGCTGGGGATACCTCGAGATAATATCAATAAATAAAATCGTACATTTAAAGTCTTTGCCTAGACAACCAGCCGGTAATGTGATTGACTTTTCTCCAGGTTTATTCCACCTTACTACTATATAACCTTACAATTCCATGCTGCCCAATGCCACACATTTAGCCGTGTCCAGGTCCAGTAGCAGTTGGTGAGGCTTGATGCACGACCCCGTCCAATTACAACCTGGTCAAACTCATTATCTACACGTTGCGAGTGCCAACTGAAGCCACCAATTGCAGCACGGACAGTAAGCCGGCATGAGCATTAATCACGGGAGCTGTTGCCGCGCCGATGTGTTTTCCCCGAGACCACGTTGTTTTGCGCGTGTGATTGTGGGCGCACACGTGAACGAACCAGGGACAGATCACATCCATCACAAAGGCAACGCTATCCTTTTTGGCCGTCATCGGCTTGTTGATGGATTTCGCTTTGGTCATACCAGGAGCTGAGGTGGAATGCAAATTTGGTGGCTTCGCTGTAGCTAAGGGAAAGCTCAACCCGGCATTTGTCGATTTGCTAACGAAAGCTACGTCTTATAATGCTGCACACACTTACTGTCATTTCTTTGGCTGCATCAGCCGTCGCTTCAGCAGCTGCTGCACTGCGACCATGGAAAGCCGCAGGCCCGGACGATTCTCGCAGTCCCTGCCCCATGGTGAACACTCTCGCGAACCACGGATATCTGTACGTCTCAACTCACGCAGCCTGTCTGTTAGAGCTGGGTCTACGAAAGCTAACCGATAAAGACCACACAACGGCAGAAACCTCTCGGTTAAACACTTTGGCGATGCCGTCGTTGAAGCTCTCAACACCGTCCCCGCGTACGGCACCAGGCCCGCGAGTGTGTTCATTAAAGGCTGGGGCAAAGACTCCTTTGACCTCGAGGACCTCAACACGCCGGGGATCCTGCAGCACATCAGCTCCTTGTCTCGCGATGACATGACGCCCATGGAAAGGAATATCGCTGTCGACGTTGCACGGGTGTCCGCCCTCCTGGAAGACAGCCCGACCGACTACGTGGACGCAGCGTCCATGGCGAAGAGTCGCCTCCGTGTGGAAGCGTTGTCGGAGCCTGAGAGACTATCGAGCCGGGAACAGCTGTTGGCTTACATGGAGGCTAGTCTGGTGCTTATGATGATGAAGGAGGGTGAAGTGCCGCCTGCGTTTAGTTTCCCCTCGGCGAAGACTTGGATTGCGCCAAAGGAGCGCGTGAGGGTGTGGCTGACGGAGGAGAGGTTGCCAGATGAGTTGGGGTGGAAGCGCTCAGAGCGAAAGCTGGGTGTGCTGGATTTGGTGCCGATTATGAAGGCTGTCTTTGATGAGAAGAGGGCGCAGAGCGGGAAGGGACCGCTTTGGAAGTCTTTTTTGTCGTTATTTGGGGGTTCGCGAGATGAGTTGTAGGTTACATTACTGCAGTAGCTTGGTATGACCACACATCTGAGCTGTCCTGTTCTGGTCTCATGATAGTACGGAGTATATAGTGGGAAATTAATGTATTTATTGCCAAAATAATTTGAGGTTCCTGTAAAAGGACGGCATAAATGCACGGTATCACTACTCCTCCCAACGACTGCAGCCCGAGACATCATGGGATCCAAAGTCAACAGTCACGTGCATGATAATGACTAACCACTTGCTCCCCTTGCCAGATCTTCCGCGCAGCAGTATCACCTTCGTCACGGTTCGCCCCACTGACTCTACTGGTTTGACTGCCTCCACCACCACTGCCGGGGTCCGTCCAGGTTGGACCCCTCCCGAGAGAGTCATCACTCTGCTTCCATCGTATCCAACCTACAATTCCTTTTCTATCTGTTTTTTATTTCATAAGCAGCGGCTAGAGAGCGGTTCGATACCACCTGCGGTCGCAAATCAGCGTGGGTCGCGGCTTTCCCAGCGAAGAGAACTGCATCGTCGAGACGCGAAGTCGCGTCGGGATGGGCATGTTGACCATTGCCATCGGAATCAAGGATTGAAGTCCCAAATTCCATCCACTCTTTCGAGCATCCTGGCTCATCTTCGACTTCCCGCATTTGTTTCTTGAACAATTTGCCTGCCTTGCATAGGCCGACATGAGTCTTTCGAACGCTGTCGCGGGCAAGACGCCTTCTACGTCCACGAATTATCCGTCCCAGCCACAAGCTGGTCCGGCAACTTCAAGCTTCGAATCGACCCGCCGTCCAAGCCAACCCGGCCTTTCTTCTACACAACCTATTCCCAGAAAGGGGCAGGCCTCTCGAAAGCAACACAAGAATCAACGCAGACCCAGTGCAGATCAAAGACTTCACGGCAATCCTGACGAGCATGACGCCATGGCTGAGCTCCGAGCTCTCCGGAACCCATCGAGCAGGAGAGGCCAGACATCAATTACCCATCTCCTAAATTACACGACTCCCCGACACTTCCAAGACCACAGCTACCATCCCAGGTCATATCGCAGGAATCCCAGCTGGGGGCCTGGATCCGGTCGTCACGCCGTTGATAAATCCAGATATGTGCATTCCAATTACCGCTTTGTAGTCTCTCCGGAGGGAACCTACACAAAGCATGAGGTCGATGCCGATGTGTTTTTGGACTGGGCAGATGTTTTGCAGATCATTGCTTCCTCGGAATCACAAACAGCTTCTTGCCCAATTTGCCTCTCAGAGCCCGTTGCTCCTCGTATGGCCAAGTGTGGGCACATCTTCTGCCTCCCTTGCTTGATTCGATTTATGCACTCGAACAGCGATGATGCTAAATCAGGCAAGGGGGCTCGTTGGAAGAAGTGCCCCATCTGTGAGGACATCATTTATCTACACGAAGCTAAAGCTGTTCGGTTCTATGCTGGACAGGAAAGTCCATTGCCTCGAGTGGGAGATGATGTCGTCCTACGGCTCATGGCTAGGAAAGCAAGTTCTACCTTGGCTCTGCCACGTGAGGGTGGCGCTGAGGTTCTCAACTGGGGGGATGATGTGCCGTGGCACTTTGCGGCAAATGTTTTGGACTATTCAAGAATCATGAAGGGTACTGCAGAGTATATGGCCACCCAATATGAAGAGGAGACAAAGGCTTTGGTGAAACAGGAAAAGGAAGACGAGACGCTGTTTGGAGCGGACTCGGAGTGGACTCAGAAGGCCATCAAAGCTGTTCAAGCAGCAAAGGAAAGGACGAATGCTTTGAAAGCGTCGAATAGCAGCGGCTCACATTCAGAAGATTCAAGCTCATCAGCAGCGAAGCCATCCTCACATGCTGATTTCTATTTCTACAGCGCTCCGCCGCACTTGTATTTGTCACCCCTCGATATTAGGATCTTGAAAGCGAAGTACGGGTCGTTTGCTGCTTTCCCGTCAACATTACTCCCCCGCGTTGAGCACATCTCTACAGGGCATGTGGTGGACGAGGTGCTCCGAAAGCGGACAAAGTATTTGGCACATCTCCCGCAGGGCTGTATCATAAGCTTCCTGGAATGTGACTGGACAGACATTGTGTCCGCAGAGATATTGCAGTCATTTTCCGGTGATATTGAGAAGAGAAGGAAGAGGAATCGGGAGAAGGCTGCTCAAGAAGAGCGCGAGAGGCTGCAGTCGGAACGTCTCGAGGCAGCGGCTCTCCGCGGCGCACTCGGAGTCTCTGCTCGCAAGCATGCAGCACTGGAACCTGTGGAAGAAGATAATTCCCCGGCTTTGGATATGTCTGAGTTCCAACCACTGACTAGCCAATCTGGCACAACACCACCGGATCCACGACCAGGATTTGAGACCTTGGCTTCCATGTCGACCAGCCCATCAACACAGCGAACTGTCTGGGGTACACGGGTTGTACCAGTGTCTCCCGATTTGCAGCCCACGATGCCTGCTGTGGATGATGGATGGCTCAAAGATGAGGACTTTCTGGGCACGGCTGAGCTCGCAATGCAGATCGAGGCGATTGAGGCTATGGAAGGCGTCAAGGCTGGCGACGCAAGTACCGCAGCTCCTGTTGGTGAAGGCGGAGGCGGAGGCGGAGGCGGAGGCGGAGGCGGCAAGAAGAAGAAGAAGAAACAGAAAATCACACTCATGAGTACAGGCGGCCGAAGAGGTCAATAAGCCATTTGTAGAAGGCATTATTTGACATATCGTCGAACAGTTGTGTGGATCTTTCTGGCGCATGGGAGATCCAGCTCTTGTGCCATTACGAGATAGGCATCCCCAGAAACAAAGAATTACGTTGGCATTCAAACTAGCAGCACAGGTCAGCAATGGTTGATAGTTTAGTGGCCGACTTATATATCATGGTCTGGCAAGAGCTGGCTAGCTAAGGGCATTGGCTTGCATATGTTGAATGGAGTTTGCAGCATTGTTTTTGAGCTTAAACAACACATATATAATAGGACGAATTATTTCATATACACCCGAACTCAACTTGGATTAGAATTTTCTGCTTATGAATTCGTATGTCTGGGATAGTAAAAGTATATTACATATGAAAGTGTTGTTTGAAATGTGTTGGTGTCAAGATGGAGACTTGGCACTGCGCGGGTCTTTACGTCCGCGCGACCCGCAACACAAGTAGCTCCTGCGGGGCTTGGGCGGATTGCGGGCGGTGAGCCAAAATTTTTCCCAGATGGCAGAATAAGTCGCAGCATTTGCAACTTTGAGATTTGGCCATTTGGCATATAGATTTCTATTGGCACCACATCAAGGAACATATTCACGTTCCAGCAATCACATTACGGGCGCCTCCCTCAGAGCATGGCTGCAGCCACTTCGCCGACTCTCACGTCGACGTCACACACGCTCACCGGCCAGTCCATCATGGCACCCGCACCCGCATCGGCCGTGGACATGGCCTCTTTTCTGGCCAATTTGCAACCCGAGAATCGACACGTTTTCCTCGAGCCGAGTGCCTCTCTTCCAAGCGATTCTCTCAGCATTGTCAAGGATACCCTGGAAGCATTCGCCGCTCAGGTTGGCGATGCGCAGCAGGAGCGCTTAAGAGAGAGCAGGAAGAGGAAGAGAGGAGGGGAGAAGGTTTCTGATGATGTCCTAAAGCTGAGAAAGGTGTACGTAGATGGTTTTGAGACGGGCCAGGTGTGGCAGCAGGCGAAGAAAATTATCGGAGGCGTGTTGAAGTTTTCAGAGGGCGTGTTGGATGAGCTGGAGGAAAATGAGGAGGTTGTTGCGCTAGGGGTTGATTCTGAGGATGAGCAGGGCGAGGCTAAGAGTTTGACGTTTGCTGAAGATGGGTTTGAGGTTGACTCTGATGAGGATGAGGGAGAGTATGGGGTAAATGGACTGGATGAAGACGATGAAGACGGGGATGAGGATGAAGAAGACAAAGACGAAGACGAAGATGAGGATCCAGAAGCAGCAATTGAAGATGAATTGGAGAGCAACGGAGATGACAAAGAGGAAGAGGACAGATCAGACGTCGAAGAAGACGACGAGGGCGAGGCTGAGGAATACGTCGAAGACCCCAATGGACTCAACGACGGCTTCTTCTCTATCGATGACTTCAACAAGCAGACCCAGTGGTTTGAGGACCAAGATGCCAGAGGAGACCCAAACACAGACCACGCCAGCGACGATGAAGACATAGATTGGAACGCTGACCCCCTGGCGTCGTCAAAACCCGATGCCAAGCCACCAAAGAAACACAATAACGAGCCCCTCGACGATGAGGAATCTGATGATGACAATGGCCCCACGTTCGGAGACATGGCACTTGATGCGCCGGAAGGCGCCAGCGATGACGAAGTCATGGCAGACGAAGATGATGACGATGAGGCCAACGATTTCAACGCCAACGAAGTGTACTACAAAGATTTCTTCGCACCCCCCTCGAGAAAGAACAAGACCGGCAAACCTCCGAAAAAGAAGGAAATGCATCTCACGCCTCAGCAACCCAACGAAGAAGACATGGAAAGGGCCATGGCCAACGTCAAACGCGACCTCTTCGACGACGAGTCAGAAAATGAAGACTCGGACGATGCCCTCTCCGACGTCTCAGCTGGTGACCCCAAATCAAGGCGCTCAACCCACGAACGGCGGCAGGCAAAGCTCGCCGAAGAAATCCGCAAACTCGAAGCCGCGTCCATAGCTAAGCGCGAATGGACGCTGTCGGGTGAAGCCGCAGCCGCGGACCGCCCCATGAACTCCCTACTCGAAGAAGACGTGGACTTTGAGCACGTCGGCAAGCCCATCCCCGTCATCACCCCGGAAATCAGCGAGTCCATCGAAGACCTCATCAAGCGGCGCATCCTGTCCCAGGAATTCGACGAAGTGCTCCGCCGCCGCCCCGACACAGACAGCCTCCCCGCCCACACGCGCCGCGGCCTCGTCGAGCTCGACGACAGCAAGCCCAACAAGAGCCTCGCCGAGGTCTACGAGGAGGAGCACATCAAGAACACCAACCCAGACACCTACGTCAGCAAGTCGGACGAGAAGCTCCAAAAGGAGGAGAAGGAGATTGAGGCCATGTGGAAGGACGTGTCTGCGCGCCTCGACGCCCTCTCCAGCTGGCACTACAAGCCGAAGCCAGCAGCGCCCCAGCTCAGCGTCGTCTCGGACGTGGCCACGGTCGCCATGGAAGACGCCCAGCCCACGACGGCGCAGGGCGTCGCCGGCGAGTCGTCGCGCATGGCCCCGCAGGAAATCTACAAGGCCGGCGCGGACAAGGACTCGGTCGCAAAGGGCGAGGTCGTCACCAAGGCCGGCCTGCCCGTCGCCCGGCAGGAAATGTCGCGCGAGGACAGAGCCCGCCGTCGCAGGCGCCACAAGGAGCGCGTCCGCAAGGCCGGCGGCGCGGATGCCCACAGCGACAAGAAGCTGGGCACGAGGGCCAAGATGCAGCGCGACACCGTGGCCGAGTTGAAGAAGGGCGGCGTCAAGGTCATCAACCGCAAGGGCGAGATTACCGACGTCGATGGGAACAAGGCCAAGCCCAAGAAGGCCGTTACCAGCGGCAGCTTCAAGTTGTAAACGGAGACATGGAAAAATCCGGCAGGGAGTGTATGGCATTAGTGGCGTTTTGGGTAGACCTGTTACATTTTGCGTGGAATTCCTGTTCAGTATCATCCAGAGATGGTGTGTTCTGGCTGTACTCTCTCATTGTCGGGGCAAGCAATCATTTTCGCCGCTCAAGTTCTGTTTTTTTCCCCCACGGTCGACTAGACTTTACTATGTTGGTGTATTTAAAATAGGGACTTGACACATGCACGTAATGGAATGACATATATCCACATAGATGATGCTGATAACTAATATTGGTCATTGTGCATACTATACAGATTGAATCACACGAAAACCACCGACCAGCCCAGGCCGACGCCGCAACACCAAAGGAAAAAACAAGATGCCCTACTCCCTCGCCACTTCGGGCTCGTCCTCCACCTTGGCCCTCTTAGGAGACTCCGCAGCCTCGGGCACCTCGTCCTCTGCTTTCCGCTTACCATTGGTAGCTGGCGCAGCCGGCTCGGGCTTCTCTTCCTCCTTGGCCTTCTTCTTACGCACCAGGCCCGTCAAGTCGGTAGCCGTCTTCTTCGCCTCCTCTACACGAGCTTGCGTCTCGGCAGCCGACTCGCCCAGCGCGGCGCCGAAAAGACCTCCCAGGGCGTTGGCTTGCGGCCCGCCGAGGAGGTCAGACGCGTCAATGGGGTCCTTTTTCAAATCAACCAGCTACCAAGGGCGTTGTTAGTAATAATCAAGACGCACTTTTTTTGTTGAACCCGGGGGGGTGGAAGACAAGAACTCGACATACCCGCTGTTCCATGTCGGCAATGACCTCCTTCATTTCGAAAATAGCCTTTCGCGCAAGGTCGTTGTCCTCGGGCGACGCCATAGTCGCCACCTCGACCTCCTTGTTCCGCATCTTGAGCTTGAAGCTCTTGATGGCGAGGCTCATCTCCTTGATGGCTTCGTCACGCAGGCCCTGGTCCATGGCTTCGCGCTTGGTGTTTTTGCCCTCGTCATCGGACATGGTCACCGACGCAAACTCCAGTGCGAGCGAGAGCTTGTAGTGTGCCTCGGCGATGATTTCCGAGTCTTCGGGGTAGAGTTCCAATTTGTAGTTGAGTGAGGTGCGGCCGTCTTCAATGGCGTTGGGATATCTAGAACAAGTCAGCGGATAGCCACGCATATGCTGAGAAGGAGGGATGAGCAAGACTGCCGACAACGTACCGCTCGTTTTCGAGAGAAATTTCAGCCAGGCAGTCGTGGGTATCGGCCAGGCGCTCCTTGATGTGCCGGACAGATGGGGAATCCTCGGCGGTCTCCTTGCCCTTGCTGGCTTCGTCGTCCCTGCTCAATTGCTCCAGCTGCTTTTCGTAGCAGACACGAGCGAGGTCGAGAATTTCAAACGCCGTCGCCAGGTCATCGTCCTCTTCCTCGGGTGCTTCCTCTTGTTGCTGTCGTTTGTTAGAGTGTTCTCCAACGAGACAGTCTGCGGAGCTAGCGCTGCGATCCAACCTACCTCTTCGTCGGATGAGTCGTCAAAGTTCTCATCGCCGGTAAATTGGAACAGCGGCTTCTTCTCATCAGGTCCACCCTCCTTCGTCTTGTCCTCTTTCTTCTCGGGAGCGTCGCCAGCCTGTCCGGCAGCATTGGCGACGCCTTGCTGCGCCGCCTTTGGGGCCTCCGTCACGGCGGGTGTTGCGGGTTTCGAGCTGCTGGTAACGGCGGCAGCATTCTTCTGGTCAGCTGCAGCTGGACCACCGAGAACATCGCTCTTGCTCTGCCCAACCTTGAACAAGCTACGGCCGTAGTGAAATAGGATCTCGGCGTTCTCGGGGGCCGTCTCGCCGTTCAGTTCGACCTGCAGCACACTGGCGCGAGAGAAGACCTCGGCGGCATCTTCGTACTGCTTGTGGGCGTACAGCGCGGTGCCCTTGGCGCTCAAATCGGCAAGAGACACTCTTCTGGACTTGGGGTCCTCGTCGCGAGAGATGGGCGTCGCAGCGTCTTCCGTGGCAGCTGGGGTGCCTTCGGCGACGGTGGGAGTAGAGGTGCCTTCATCGGCAGGTCGCGTCTCGGGAGCAGGTTCTGCCATGGCGTGTCGAGTGATGAGGTCACGCGATCGGGAGAATTGGACAATGCAGCAGACTCAAATTGTACCAATTCCTCGCGGCGCCAAGCTCCGTTGGCAGGATGCGGCGTTTGATAGAAGTGCGGGGAGTGATGGGTTGTGAATGAGGAAGAACTTTTGATGCGACACGAGCCGTGGCGGGACGCAGGGCGAAGGGTCGTCTGATCGTGTTAATTGAGCCAAGACGTGATGCGGCAGTCTAAATTTGTTCGTTTGATTCGTCGATCTGAATGAAGTCAACGGGCGGTGGCCCACAGCGGGAACGCCATGACAAGCAAAGCAACCGGGCAACAACGTGCTACTTGCTACCCTAGATGCTTGGCCAGGTTGCCAACATTTCTCAACGTTCGCCAGCGTTCCGTCTTGTCATCCAATCGAACCATCGTTCCCGTTCCCGTTCAGTCATGTCCTCTTCGAGATACTGAATTATGTCCATGTCTCGCCCAGTTGTCTCTGCATCGGCTTTCTCAATTGAGAGGTGTCGGCCTCTACGCCTGGCTAACCTCGCAAGTAACCGACCATGGTCAAACCGGAAATAGGTTCGAGACGTAGAATAGCGACATCGCGTTTTTATGCGGAGATTGCAATCCGAACTTGATGCACTAATCAATTGAGCCTTTTTTCGGAGCTAGGTAAACGTATCATACTTCGGAAACTAATGCGCGTGAAGTTGCTATCCGTTCACGCGGACTGTGACGACACTCTAAGCACTTTTAACGTTAAACGTGTTTCTTTTTTCTTTCTCTTTCTTTCTTTCTTTCTTACCTTCTGGCAGGTGGTATTGGAAACAGTCTGTTTCACCAGTAACCACAGAAAGCAAGCCTCAGGGTCAGTCAATCACCTGTTACATGGACACCGTGTGAACCCTTGCTCTTACTCGAGGTGCAACCCATCACGACCTGGACGTGGCTTGGTGCATCCCGTCGTCGAAACCAGCTGAAGACCAGTCGAGACCCCCGAAATCTAGTTGCCATTGCGTGAATCGACAGAGCTTTGGACGCCGCCGCGCCACTTCATGTGCCGCGGTTATCTCTACCCGTGCAGTGCATGATATGTATGCTGGCGGTGAAATGCACAGTGCTGAGCGGTGGGCCGAAAAACATATTGGAGGCGTCAATAATGGGCTGATTATTTCAAGAGGATGCCGATAGATTTCTGTCGCGTTACATATAAATATAAGCAGCTGGCCGCATGTTGGTTTCGTCTAATAGGTGCGTCTTCCAAACACACGCCTCATACTTGCCCAATAACACAACCAACGCACCATACATCACAATGAGCAACGACACTGAAAATCAGGTAAGCTTACGCCACTAGTGACACTACGCAAATCTTTCTACCTACCGTGGTTTCTTACCTACCGTCTTTAGCCTGCTTTTGGCCAGATTTGTTGGCTCGAAATCGCAGTGTATGATATTAAGCGAGCCTCGAAACTATATTCTGAGATTTTCGGCTGGAAGATCAACGAAGATGCAAGCCATATGGGCCACCATGGTATCAAAACCATGCACATGTTTGAAACCCCCGGGAAGAAGCTGAGTGGCGGATTCCTCGTCATGGAGGAAGGCTATCAGATGACCCGATATGGAAGACTTGAGAAGGAGGTTCTCCATCCTCTGCCCACATTTTGTGTCAAGGACTGTGATGAAACCTTGAAGCAAGTAGAGGGCCTAGGTGGTAGTACACAGTGGTAAGTGTCATGTATTCCCACGTTGTCCATATCCCCATCTGTCGTGCTAATAAGGCGAACAGCCCCAAGACGGCCATCGGCGGTGATATGGGCCATTATGCTCGGTTTAATGACTCGGAGGGGAACATTATTGGTATCTGGTCGCAGGAATGAGCCTGTAGTGTCTGAATCACGATGATCGAGAATGGTGATATGGTGGGCAGTGTTTGCCGACGACGAGAATTACGACCGGATGTGAGTCATTTCTTTTGTGGGATGTTGAGTATCTGCAGATCTGGGTCGGTACTAATACATTGATGGCAAAGTTTTGCTCGTACCAAATACGACAAGCTCCATTTCCTGTGAAGTCAGAGGGCGATGAACTAAGAATGCTTAGCACGCTTTTCTGAATGGAGGTTGTTGCTGTGACTGCGGCGTGTCTGTCAACTACCGTCAGCTTACGCTTAGCTTCGTAACCTGACGGGAAGCCGGTCCAACTACAACGACTTGGCAAACTAAAATAGAGCCAAGGTGAAATATTACTTGAATAACAACTATAGGCCACTCACATGTAGCATCTCCACCGCGTTGACGGACTGTCACGGTATATCCTTTTGTCCATGCAATGGTTGATGGAGTCGATCGTGACCTGAATTTTCCAGCGTGGTCCAGTCACAAATGGTAGCGGCGCGCCGATTTCTCCTTTTGAGACTGGCGTACGTAAATCGACAATTGATGCCAATTCGCTCCTGCTTATCCGTGGATGGCTTGGTTGACTTAAGCTCCATGACGGGGGCGTTGTTTGAGTTTCAACTAGACGGTGTAATTCAGCTGTTGCGGAGGATTGTCCAATAAAGACAAACTCGGTCGATTAAGTGCTGAGGATCTGGTCCATTTCAAATTGGATAACAGACCTTTCGCTATTCGGGTCATCTGGGCCCGGTTCAGCCGCTAACTCGACAGCTGGGTGTATCGGCTAATACGCCTGAGAGTGCACGACAGCAGCTTGCTGAGGCTACTTCGTTCATTGTGAACTGTCTCACGTTGTGAAAAGGCAAAATATAAATTTTATGAGAAGAGAAAAAACGATCGTAGTGAACTCCAAGAGTGGAAGGACAGGGGATTATGGTTCAAACTAATTGACATTTGTGGTTGACGTGACGTTTCGCTACCTGTTTCTTTCAGCGACAATCTGGCTGGCCTGACTATGGCACGGGGCAATATGGGCCTGGCCTGACGGTATTTCGGGCCGCTACCAGGGATACAACATGATGCGGTCTCGACGGTCGTGGCGTGACGGAAAATTCTTCAACGTCGTACAAGAGAAATTGGTGAGAGTAAAGACGACACGGAGATCTGGAGCCTGGTCTCTACCAAGTCCCTCGCTCCTTCCCTAGTCCTCCCACAAACGGCAATTGAGAAAGGCGTCAAGTCTGGGCAGGACCGATGCCCCCCAGTAAACACGGAGTATCCTGCTCACTTTCCGGTTAGGACCCATTTCTCTTTCGCGCCCAACTCAGTGTCTGCATCTGTCTGAGCTCCAGCATTCGGGTGTTGTACGGCCATTTCACCTCTGACGCACTCCAACTGCGGAATGCTCCAAGTCGGGAAACTGGGGAAGGCCTTGCGCAGCTTGTTTATCGCGATTGAAAAGCGCCTGGCCCCTCAGGAACTCGACACATCATTGGCGGAAGAATTGGCAAAAGCTTGGGGGACATTCATGCACTAGCTCGTTGTGGACCGCCGACAAGAGCAATTGATCTCCAAGCCTTCAAGCACCATTGCCAGCATCCAGAGTTGAGCGAGATCGGTGCCCGAGTACAGAGACGAGGTGAACGAGCCCTGCAATCCGAGACGTTCCAAGCAAGTCAATCTCAGGTCTTTCTCGAACGAGCCAAGTCACAACCCCGCTGGCTCGGCTGCCGCACTTGGGCTCTGAGTCTATTATCATCCTTCCGAGCGCCGACCTCCCCCAATGCCCAAGCAGCATATCCTGTGCATCTAGCGAGAGGAAAAAAAAAAAGAAAATAATCAACCTCCAAACCATCCGGCCCCGTCACCTAGTGCTTCCCTGCAGGGCTGCGCGCACATATCGCATTCGCAAGTTCCATCTATTACTCCGTCACATGCCTCCCCATCCCCCCGAGTCATTGCAGAGCGCGGGCAACGCCAACTTGACAACACTTCCCATGTCCAGACGCCATTTGCTTGCACGTCGCAGACACAGCTGAATTAACCCGTCAAACACATCTGCTCCTTGATATTGCCTCCTTTGGGGACCTCGTTTCTGGCCCGGCGCCGTCTACACACGAGAAGGGGACCATAACTAAGCCTCGTCTCTCTTCCTAGAGCCGATCAAAAGAACTGTTTGCCAGTCTGCGAGTCTGTCGGCTCTAATACACCAAATCCACCGCCGTTCCACCTCTCCACTGGAAACGACACCTATTTTCTAGTCCAACGCTGTCTTTCCTCCCATTCTACAAGGACCACCCCGTTTTTTGATAACACGGAATTGTACTTTTTACCCGGAGGAAGACGCCGTCTTATTGCTGGCAGCTTCCACCAACCAGGGGCCAGGACGATCCGGCCTCTCCCACAGCCTCTAGAACAGCCTCAGCACATCTTGGTTTGCTCCTTAGAACTGAAATTGCTATCTAGTTGCGACGACATTTTCAGTCCATCCCGACTGTGAGACGAGTCCGCAGCTTGTGCGCTAAAGATTTTACACGACTTGATTGCTGACTGGGTTCCTTCACTTCTCACCAAGCCTTTTGTCCCCGTCTCGGCCATCTCTCGTTTCTCCCGACTACTGAGAACAAAGGCTCCTAGTCGAAACGTTTGGTACAAGGTGACAGAGAGCCCGGGAATATTGTGCGCCTCGTCCTACTTGATATCCTTGCCCGCTTACACTACTCGGGTCCTGCTTCTTGCAGCAAGTGGTCATCATTATCCAACCAACATTCCCAAAATCCAGCCGCTGTCGCCCCATCGTCACTAGTCTTCCATCAAATAGGCATCATAAACCAGTGTAGGAACCGAAACACCGTTGTGCCTTCTGGGATTCAGTTTATCGACATTCGGGATAGCCTTCGCCGTATTCGGTTCCATCAGACGCTCATTATTTATTTCGTCGCTGCCAGGTATTAACCACGTTGATGAAACAGCTTCCCTGGATGAGCGGTCAATGGTATTGATTTGACTTGTCCTGGGCGCTGGATCTGATTACTATTCCCCAGCTGAGTTAGGGCCTTCCAGCTCGTGTATCCTCGAGTTGCAGGAACCATGGCCGCTGTAC